TAAGAATGATTTGAAAGGAAACGAATGGATAATGAGAAAGAGAGTTGGGAGAGAGAAATATTAAAATTAGATTTCTTATTGAAATTATAGTTTGAATGTTTAGAATTTTTTTTTTAATTCAGTTTAGGAATTTTCAATGAAGTACATATAAATCATTCGGAGACTTTTTGTTCCCCATATTTTTTAATCAGAATAATTTCAATTATCTTATTTCTTCCTTTGAATTAAATTCATACTATTCTCATTTGTAATTTTTGATTTTTCTATTAGCAAGGATGCAGGAAGAATTTTGCCAGTAATTTTTACTGATATGGAATATCGTTATTTCGAAAGAATAACAAAATTATATTTCAGTGCTGTATATTTAAAAAATCTACAATTGGATTGAAGTGACGAATTAATCATCTATTATTCTCATATCTCGTGTATACAAACAATTATCTTTGATTATTACTTTATCTAAGTTTTTTTTTTTCTTTTTGGGATATTTTTTTCCTGGATTTTTCCGGGATATAATATTTAAAAATTGAATGTCATCTTCATTAATAATTTTAGCTGAAGCGGATGAACTTTGCTAGAAGTTAAAATTAAATAATAGATCATATTAATCAATTATTATAGAGCAAATCTATGTTGCAAATTTTGCATTATAAAACACGAAGATCAGAAAAATTAACTCCATTCATTGAGGTATACATAATAATATATCATCTTATCAGTGATAATTAGAACAGATAGGATGATAAAGATCGCTCGATCCCTTCCTCCTTCTTTCAGATCAAGAAAATGATATGGATGCTTCGCATTAGTAATTACTTATTATTCTTTATTCTCTTCCTGTAATGAATGCAATAAAACTAAAATGAAATATCTCTGGTGCTAAAATTAAATTTACCGGAAGGGAATCGAAATTATGGAAATGGAACAGAAGCAAAGATTATGATGAAAAATGTTGAAAAAATGTAACGGAAAATATCGAAATTTGAACATGAAATTATCAAAATGTAATGAATGAATAACAAATATATTCAATAAGTGAATACATACATAACTGAAAGAAATATAAATTTCAAATTAAAGAATATAAAAACTTACCTTTGTGGCCACAATAGCCATCCTTCGACATTGATTATTTTCAACAGTCAATAAATTGCCCGTAAATTTCCTATGACTCTTTGAAGGCTCTTCGCGTGCCACTGATAAGCTGTTAAAAACTGATCCAGTGCTTGGTCGGTGTTGAATTGATGTTAGCATAAACTGAAAAAGCCTCCTATGTTTCGACCTATTTTTTTATTTACTTATTAATTAATTTATTAATCCAGTAATTTCACATTTAAACTTTGATATTTTCAATTTTTGTCACTTAATTTGTTTAAAATTATCAAAGTTAATTTTGTCAATCACCAATATTAGCATTTTATTCAGTCTTTACAGAAAATAGTATTTATTTCATTTAATTCCATATATTTTGAACAGTTTTTTGAATTTATTACTTTCTCCTTTTTTTCTCCGAATAATTTTTCAACGGTTTGGAAACAAATTAATACCTGCTCCGTTCGACTTACATCGGCACTTCGACAACGCTGCCCAGGTGATTCATAAGCATACTCCACATGACTGTAATCTCCTGCTACTCTTAAAACTTTTTTTTTCTAATTTACAACTTCAACTTTATAAATTTTAATTATATTTCCTGTTTATTAGAGAGTAGAATAAACTCTCATACTTCAAGAATTAAAACAAACTTTTATTTTTCAAGAAATATAGATGCAATTTAAATGTTTAAAATTATGTCAGGGAAAACATTTGTTGTAATGATAGTAAATTGTTGTAATTTATGTAACATTTTATTTTAATAATTAAAATTTACAATATCATCATATACATATACTTATTTTAGATTGCTAATTTATACCTTAAAAGCTTTCGATTTGCAAAAAAACTGCAAAATAACTGAAGGAACGTAACGCGAAACCGTTTATTCATAATGCAATATATAAGAAAATTAACAGCTGAATTGATTAATGATAAAAGATCCATGAAATCACCTAAGGGTAAGTAAACCTGTAATTTAGAGTGCTATACATTTATATTATGTCTTATAATTCATATGCAAGAAAAATATAAAAAAGCTTTGGAAAATATTAAGAATTTTGAAATCACTTAAGTATTACTAAAAGTAACACAAATAAATATTTTCAATAAAAGTTTCCATTTCATCCGTCCATGCAATATTCAATTTTAAATGTGAAAAAAAGAAAGAAAAAAATATGTCAAAAAAATAATAATAAATTTACTTACTTTTTGATGGAAAGTATCACCAGTGAAAATGCCTGTCAAAACATTCATAACACCTTGCGGTAACTCTGTGATAAGAAATATTGATAAAACAGCGACAAGCATCGGTGTTGTACGATCTTTCGGTACTTTTCTTTTCATCAACTATTAAATTAATAAACGTTAACTAATTTGGAAAGAAATAAATTCAGTGCAATTGTAACACCTGCTGGAGCTTTTTTTTTACTGAATTTAAATGACTGATATGATGCTACCTGTTTTTTTTTCTGCTGCGATTCAACACGCATCAACTATAGGTGATCGAGAATATCTCAAAATTTGATCGGATAGAAAAGATATATTTTTATGATCGAGTAAATTATGAAGTTTGAATAGATAAGAAAGACATTTTTTTTATAAGACATGAAATTCATGCAAATGTTTTTGGATAGTTTATTGAATTAATGCATATTTCCTATAATTATCCTAATACAAGCAATAATAAGGAGAAGCTATATTTACTTAAAAAGATTTCAATGAATTTTTTTGATCTTTATCTATTTATAAAGCTTTTTAAAATTTTAGTCTTTTTTATCTGTTTTAAATCGTTTTACATTTTTTCGTTTTTTTAATTTAATTCCTCAAATACATGCTATTTATTGATTAAACGGTAAGAAGAAGATAGCAAAAATGGAAACTTCGACCCCTATACTTTCTAATCCATCAAAACAAAAAAAAAGACCTAATGTTGAGGAGCTTTTTTCTTTCTCCTCCACCTCCTTCATCTCCTCTTCTCTCTCTACTTCCTGATTTCAAATAAAACTTCTCTGTGATTACATGCTAATTGAATTTGGGAAGAAGTGACAATGTTGTTGTGCCATTTTGCAGCATTACTTTATCGTTTTTATCCAAAGAGTTAAAATTGGCTTACAATTTCGAAATATCTCGCACGGAATTATTTTTATTGATTTTGCAGAGAACTACAGCATATCGTAATTAGTGACTAACTAAATATGAGTACAGGAGTATTTTTATCATTTTAATTACTGTATGATAAATGTTTTCTTGCCGACCTACTGAGGTAAACAAAAATCAGTTAGTATATTATTGACTTGTAATCTATAAATGATTATATACTCAGCTATGATTATGTTTTAATAATTTGGCGCCTGAAATAATATCTAAGCAAAGTGCAAAAAATTGAAATATTTAAATGTTAAAAACTGAAATATGTATATTAAAAAAACTGACAAAAAAATATCTAAATGTTAAATATTGGAATATTGGAATATTAAAAAGAATACATAGGAATTATTTTCCGATTAGTTGATAAGATATTCCCTGCTAAATTTCGTTTTATTTTTCTCTTCACATATCACATATTAAAATTAAATATTATTTTTTTTAAAAGGAAAAGCATGGAATGACTGATAAACGAACCTGTGCAAGAGTTCGCCTTTGATGTGATAAATCGGCAATCACTTTGAGTAGTATAATAATTGATGCAGTCAATAATAAACATGGTACCACTTTAAAAAGTATACCATTTGACCAGAACGCTAACTGCAACATATGAATTTGCCTTTTAGTAAAAAAATAAATACTTTATTAATTTAATAATTAAAAGCACCTATCAAGAATTAATTAATTTTTAAACTTTTCTGTTTGTCAGATATTTCACTAAAAAAGGTGTTAAAATGCCGCCTTGTGTGATTTAATGACACTTTCTTTTCAGTGAATACTTTCAAAAAAAAAAAAAAAATCTGTGCAGTTGTTTACTTTGATAAAAAGCTTTTTTTAAAAAAAAAGGAGAGAAGAAGAAAGAAGCATTTTACTCGTAAATTTCTATTTTAAAATTTCATAATAGCTAAAAAGTTCTTCAAAACTAACAAAATAATTATTTCAGTATTTCAGTTTCAATTTGATATAACAGTGATGAAACAAAATTTATTGCACAATTAAAGTTTGAATCTATTTCAATCTTTATTATAAATCGATCTTTATTATCAATCTTTATTATCATTTCAATTTTTATTATCAATCGTTATTGCTTTGCTAATAACAAAAATGTGTTATATTTTTTATCAATTCTTTCAATTATGCTTAAATGCTTAAGACAACAAAGTTGAAGAGTTCATTAGCAAAGCAAATTAATTAAATTGATGAAATACCTTGAGCTTCATACAATTGCCTTGTGATGCGACAAGCATATAAACCGGATATTCATCATCATATTGTGAGTCTGAACTCTGTTCAGTGTAATAATCGTTATCAATTGATAGTGATAATGATGAATTCTTCTCGGAATATTTAACTAAGCATGGAAGAAATAACTCTGGTGATGTTCTAACAACCTGTAAGAAAACTTTTTTACTAATAATTAAAAAATTTGACGATTTCCTTCGCGATCAAAAGAAAAAGGAAATAAAAGAAGGGAAGAAATAATGTTACTGATTAATTATTTAAATATTCGTATAATTTAGGATAAAATCTTATTTGACTTGAATATTTAAAGTTTTAGTGTAAAATGAAGAAGAAACATACTTTAAAAGTTAAAAAATTGGGAAGATTGAATAGCGACATGATGAAACATGTCGCTAAACTGAGCAAAACAGTAAAACGTATTGTAACGGTCGTTGACGGATGCAGCGTAGAACGTCGGATTGTTAAGACACGTATTTGAGCTAGCAATACCTTGAAGATTGAAAAATAGAATTTAAATTATTACTAACGTAAACGAATATTTGCATCAAAGATGAAATTTTACTATTGCAAAAATAAATAAGCTTTAAGCTTAAGACTATAAATTGAATTTTCATTCTCATTGCATATTTTTCGATTACATTTCTAATTATATCAATTTTTTTTTCTACTGTAAACAATATCTCTATTTTTCCAATTTTCTCGTTTTATAATTAATTTTCGTTTTTTAATTTCCTAATTTATAATTAATTTACCAAAGTTCACATATTTCATCTCAAAATTGATTGGTGTAAGAAAAAAAAGGGAAAAAAATAAAATTTTAACGTTAAAATCTTATGAAATGACTGCTTCATCTTTCTGCTCATGTTAATTAATGAAATGCTACTTTATTTTATATCATTTTCAAATTATTTTTTGCAAAAAAATGATAATTTTATATGATAACAACGAGTTTATTATTTGAGAGGAAAAAACAAAAATAAAACTAACAGTAAGCCATATACTTGTAGAATGTAAAATGACGGATGCATGAGCATGAATTAACGTGAAAATTGTCCACGGGTAGCTATAATCGGTATGTAAGCAACGATTAGCGGCATTGATCAAAAAATGCGTCACGAATATTAAATATGATGCCATAACCAATACATCACAAATTGCTATTGAAGAGAGTAATACATTTACCGGTGAAATCATCGATGGTCGGGTTAGGACCGCAATTGTCATCACATTTAAGATTGTACCTAAAAAGATATAAATTATTTTTATTTTTAAAAAAGAAAAATTGATTAGCATAATATTATTAATTTATAACTGTAAAATTGCAACTACAATGTTTTACAATTGTGTAAAAA